TCCTAAGCATAAAACCTAGTTTGCTATGGGTTCCCTGTAGCTTCTCCTGACACTTTATGAGACGGCACATTCAAGGGAAGAAACTGTCACCTTGAATTAAAGCTGCTTTTTAATAATGCCCCTATGCATGTCACTGAGTCTAAAGAAAGCTGTGTGCACAAAGCGTTTGTGGGCTGAAAACCTCAGTGGTGCACGCATTAGCATCAGTGGCGTGTGACTGTCACATCAGATAATTTAATATATAAATTATTAATCTGGAATAAAATCACAGGCACAAGAGCCCCACGGGGAAAGGCTCCCCAAAGGTTCCACTCTTGAGCTTGCCGAGAAACCAATCCATCCTTAAATTCAGTCTTGAGTAATCGCTTGATCTCTAAAATGAAAGTAAACGCTGTTTTCAACACTTTCCTAATTATACTTAAAGCATGAACAAATATGAAATATGAGGGCAGACAATATGTACTGCTTTTGTATAAAAAGTACCTAAGCTTGTTGTCGCTTGGGTTTTAAGTAGGATTGTATTAGCAGTCGATGGCTTTGTTGTGATTACAAGAACTGCAGCTTGAAGAATTGGGTAGTGCTATCAACTGAGAAACTTGGTCAATATATGTATAATCATTTAGATCCTTCTGAGAACTTTTTTTTTTAATAAAACCTAACAAACCTATAGCAGTATTATTTTTCATAGCTCACAGTCAGCAGCTGCAGAAACATCCCAAAGGACGAATAAGTGCCCCAGTTCTTAGGCAGTACTTCCTCCCAGCCACAATCAGGAGATGGTAACCCCTCCAACCTGCCACTATCTGATTATGCACAATATCATTTTTGTTGCCTGTTTTAAGCTAAGTGAGACAGACGGTTAAGAAAAACTGCTTGAAGTTATATTTAAAAAGTTGTTGACATACTTGGAAACCAACCGTTATGTTCTATAGCTACACTTAGACAGTCGTCAAGAATTTGGACTACTGCTTTTCTCAAACATGTCCCAAGATACATTACAAATTATAACATACTGAGCCAATATCCTGTGTAAATTAGATAGATTGTCCAGTGTCACATAATTGTGTGTTCTGACTTTCCAGTTGAAATTCTAACTCTTATTAGCCTTTGTTCACACAGCTACAAATGAACGTGCATGCTACTTGGTTGAGATATAGCTGAGTGAGCAACTGCATAAAATGGAATAAAAGGTATAACAAGTATTCAAGACTTTCAAGCTTGAGTTGTTTTGGATTCTGACTGCTGACCATCACAGGTAAGATATTGCCTCATCATCACGACAACAAATTGTCTGACTGGACAATCTGTTGTCCATTTAGACAACAGATTAGTCCTTTTCTGAAAACGAAGCTTTTCCATGTTTAAGGCTAAAGCCTTCCTTGTATCTCTATTTTATGTTTTACAGGGAATTTGTGAATGCTTACACCTTTTTTTTAGGGTCATCATCTTTTGGCTTATCAGTTTATGATTTTACTATGCAGATGGAAATAAGTCAATTGGCCTAACTGAGAGTGTATAATTGACTTCTCATCACAAAGTTTACATTTTTCACATCTGTATAATCTCTGAGATCAGTGTTTTTCAGGATGTGGAGGTTCCTCCATCTTTCCCCCAGTGTTAGTACTTAAATGTTTTCACACAATATATTTATAATTTCACTTTTTCTTTGGTGATGGTTATTGCATTAGGTTGTTTACTAATTTGGGTGCACACATTTACTAAACACCTTATACTTATTTAGATCATTAACTATTTTGTTTTGCTGAGTTTTGAAGGACTGGCTGGGGGAAGATGATTGGTTGAAAGGCAAACCAGGAAGTGGAGACAAACCATCAGGCTGCTTCCAGATGTGCTTCCAGCAGCCTGATGGTTTGTCTCCACTAATGAAACAATTGCTAAAGCATTTTGGTGTTAGCTTATTTTGCTTTTATAGTTGTGTTAAAGTCAAAACGTTTTAGTTTGAACTAGCTATTTATGCTTATGCATCATTTGTTTTGTCTCTTCTCCCAACTCTCCTCATTTGTGTAAGCTAGCCTTTGTGTATAAATTCCCCTGTGTTCATTCTGTGAGGTCAGTTTTGGTTTGTCATGCTGAGTTAGGTATGCCTTAGTTTTCTTCTGAGCACTTTTTGCTATATTTTTGAGATTTGTTGAAAGCCTTTTGTTAAGATTTTTAAAAAAATAAACAAATAGAAGATATTTTTTTTATATATGTGTTTGTCTTTGTGCCTCACTGGTCGGACCGTAACATAGAAAAACACTGACTGGAAGACACTCTTTAGATTGTGAGTGTAATCATCACCTATGAAGTCACTGCACATTGTGGATAGAGAATAAATTTAATCTTATTCATCAGAAGGATTTGCTGAGGCAGAGAAACCTATCACTGTTACAATAAAAGGCTTCATGTAATATTTATAAATACTATTAATATTTATACCATAAAAAAGGATGGGGTGTTGCAATGAGAGTAGGGAGAAAATGATCAGAACTTGCTTTATTTTAATCTTCTTTAGCTTTTATTTTTACATTTTACTACCTGTGCTTGTTCTTTTTCAAATATATCTATAATTTTAATAGAAGATGTGTTGCTGGACATTTTTTTTTTTGTTGTTTACTATGGCACTTTATATTGTTTACAAGAATAAATGTTAGGGTAGCACATTTTTCTGTTTTCCGATTGCTCAAATTTTCCAAACCAATTCATTACTAACCAGGATTTTCACATCTGGCACAAATCCTTAAAAGTTAATAAAGATGTCAGAGATCTAATAAGTTATATCTTAGATTGTAATCTTCTATATCTTTTATGTGCAGGAGGACATACAAATGGCATTTTATTACATTCCTTCCTTGAAGCAGCCATACAATGAACCAGTTTTAGAATGTAAAAGTGTTTAAAACAGCAACTTATCTCTGTGTGTTAACACCAAGTGCTGGATTTAAAAGAAAGTAGGCCACTGAGCTAGAGACAGTTTTGGTTTCCAACCCACACAGGTTTCCTTAACACATCCAATTTACCATAAATTAATAGTGAAATATGAATCAACTTTAAATTATTACAGCATTCTCCACATGAAAATAATGTAATGCTGAAATTAGAAATATCTTACAAAAATCACACCTGTACAGTGTTGATAATATATTTGCCCCTTACAGATTTCTTTTGTATATCTTTTTATTTTTATTCTTGTCACACATGAATGTTTTACATAATTGCTTAAAATATAACCTATCTGATAACATGAATAAAAAATGTTTGAAAAAGGCAAACACTCTTTCCTGATCCAAAGACATTTAAGAACAGATAGATTTCTGTAACCAAATAAAAACACAAATTCCTATTTTGTATATGACCCTGGAGGCTTTTGGAAAATATTCTGACAAAACAAAACTGGAATTCTTCAGGTGCATGTCCTGTAACACCTGGTGTAAAACTAACACCGTATTTTATTGAAAAAAAAAAAAAAAGAACATTATGTTGAGTTAAGGTGGTAATGTGATGGAGTAGGTTATTTTGTTGCTTTAGGATCTGAACAACTTGCTGTAACTGACCATCAAGCCAACCTATGCAATGTTTAAACTAAGTGCTAATACGTAAAAACAAAAAAAAAATAATTAAAAATGAAGGCTTCAGAAGGGTTTAGTTAAAGTTTGCACATAGAAAATGCAGAAATGCTGTGGTATATGGTTAGACAGATTATTGAAAGCTCACCGACGAAGAGGAGTGTTCCACATGTCCTGCACAGTGATGTGCTGCTGTTCAGGGTGACACTTGGGGTATTAACTTTGGGGAAAAGTTGCTCTTCTCATAGACAGGTGGTTTTATCTTTTGTCTTTCAGAAAATAAAGTCATTTAAGAAGAGCTATGTGCATTCACCAAAGTTATATTTGTCTGATATTAAAATCTGCTGGAGGTAAAACTTTTCGAATGTGACCAAAAAGCACACACAGAAAAAACACTTAAGTGGAATTTTCCACAGCACACAAATATGCTTAAAATAAGCGTGCAGATTGCATGTTAAGCTTTCTGTTGTTACTAGAAACATGGACAGAGGGAGGGATCAAAGTTGAGGATATGCCATCATCATTTTTAACTGTTGTTAATTGGTTACATAAACAAAAATACAACAATTAAAACGACTTCGACATTTTCAACTACAACAAAATAACTATCCAGGGCACCATACTACTGTCCCTGTAAATCCTTGCTGAAGTGTTGCCCAGGTAAACTGTTTCCAAGCATAGAAAAATGTATTTGTTAATGTTTGTAGACAATACTGTCTGCTTTTAAAGTTGTCTAAAAGCTTCCAAAATAGGTTAGCAATGCAGTTCTATCTGATTTGCCACCTGGTCCTCATCCAAAAAATCAACTATTCCCCCATGCAGCAGAAGAAAATGACAAGTAGTTTGTTTCCTACTAACAGACTAGTTGTGTACATTTATAAAGATTAGATTATTTTATATTTTCTTATATTAAATTTTAAAAAATGGCATTAAAGTTAACGTCCTGGCCTTTTCCAACAAAAAAAGTTATGCAACACAAATTCATTTTTGGCAACATATTTAATAGTTACAGCGTTTCACTTCTGCTGCCCCCTACCGATCAGAACAACTTAGTTTTTATTTATTATTATTTTTAATGTAATGACCTTTAGATTAAAATTTACATAAACATTAATCATAGAAACTTAGCTGGGAGAAATACATTTATTTGATCTGCTTTCTATCTACACTGAACAGAGCAGATTTTACACTTATTTTTGGAAAGATGTTGAACTCTATTTGTAAAGATCCCTGGGGATCTTCTGAAATGTACTGAAACTCCGGACCATCTGTTCGTCTGACCTCACAGCCAAATCTGTCATCTGGGCCGTGTTCAGATAAACTATGCGACACAAGTTATCTATTTTTTCTTTTTTAAACGGCTCCTTACTGCAGGTGCGTCACTTGCCTTCAATTAAACTGGGGGTCATTTCTCCTCCAGAATCCGCTCAGACACTTTCAGTTTTTATTCCTCGCATCGGCGTCGGGGTTGCAGATGGATTAAGGATTAAGAGCAACGGAGGAATCCAGCGTTTCCTCTCCGGATAGAGACTCTGCACACAAAGTGACACAACGTGGGCGGCGCGTCGAAGACCCGATCTGCAGGCACGGCGCAGCGGCTTCACGCAGGAGTCAGGATCTGGGTGTGAAGCTGAGCAGACGTGACGGCGTGGTCCTTTCAGTGTTTTGACCTGCGGAACAAAACACGAGTGAAGGCTTAGAGTGGGACTCGGGCTAAGGCTAACCTGCCCTCTGGAGCGCGTCTGACCAAACTGGACCTCACTTCATTCGGAAAGAGGACGATGCTGTTTGATCCATTTTTAATTTGTGCGTCTGAACTGTTCCACCTGACGTGCCGCAGATGATAAATTGGGAATCACCTCTGGCGAAAACATTTTTGGAAACGCGATTCGCGTCTCTCGACCTGCGCGTATTTTCTGGAGACATTTCCAGCGACGCGTCTTTGGCACAGCAATAAATCAAAGACATGTGCTGCTGTGAATTTCTTTTGCCAAACTGAACTCAAAGGACAGTGATCAAGAGCTGGGTAGATTTTCTTAATGAAGTGACGAGAAGACATTTATGGCTACATGAGAATTACGTGAAAAGGTCTGGAGATGCGGCGCAAATGCTTTTATCTGCTCCAGGTAAGTTTTGTATATTTAAAATTTGCGCTCCCACTTCATTTTCCTGCTGTGGGCGTTTAATTAAAACTGGCCCCGTCTGTTGTTCTGATTAACAGCCGCTGAATTTAATCATGATGCGAAAGGGACAGAAAGCTTCCACCAACATGACAGGGAAATGTCACCATAAGGAAAAACCCGCACAGTTCTCCCAGATGAGGGTTTAAACCCGGACGTTCCTGACAGAGTTTATATATATATATATATATATATATATATATATATATATATATATATATATATCTGTTTCCATTAAAGTACTGATGCAAGAGTTTACCTGTAAACACTGAAACCTGAACTTGAATCTTCGGATCATAAATCATCCCAAGTGGCGTGATTCTTATCTGATGCTGAGAAATCCGACTTTTGGCACCGGTTTGTTGAAGCGAGCGAGTGCACTCTTTCGTGTTTCATTCAGATGTCTCTCCTCTCTGGTAGTGCGCCCTTGACTTATCTCAATATCGCCACATGTTTTTGCTCCTAAATGGAGCCTGCAGAGGTAACAATGAGGACACGTGATGCGTTGACCTCATATAAGAGACATACTGATGGTGTTGGGGAGGCCTGAGGTGTTTTGGGCTGCTACAATTTAGCCATCTACAAAGCCTAACTTGCTAACACAAGTTAGGCTTTGTAGAGGGATGCATTGAATAAAAGTCTGTTTATTTTGTAATTCAGTTTTTAAAAAAAGTGAGATTCGGGAATTATAGATTCATTACTTGCAGTGAAATATTTGAAGCTTTCATATTTGTCATTTTGATGACCATGGCTTCCAGCTGTTCAGAAAACAAAACTTTAGTGTATCAGACATTCGGAGTATTACATAAAACCAATTTTGAAACTGATGTTTCGTTCTTGAATCTTATGTTATGCCCAAAACTTTTGTGGAGGCAGTCAATACTCTGTGACAGGAGAGGGGGTAAATCATCAAAAGGTCACTGCAGAAGCTGGTTGTTTCACAAAATGCTGTATCCAAGTATATTAATGGAAAATTGAGTGGAAGGAAAGATGTTGTAGAAAAGCATACACAAGGACGAGGGAGCTATGTCACACTCTTAATGCACTGTCATGTCAGGCCATAAATCAGTGCAGTTGTTTACCAGGAAATTGTAGAGCACTTATTTCTGCTCTCTGCTGACAATCTTTATGAAAATGCTGATTTCATTTTCCAGCCTGGCTGACAAAGGCACCACTACCTTATTTAATCATCATGACACGAGCGCACTTGCCTGGCATGTGTTGCATAGCAGAAAGTAAACCCCACAGAACATCCAGAGTGTTGTCAAGAGGAAGATCGTAGACTCCAGAGCTGACAGTGGAGACGAGCTGAAGGCTGTTCTCAAAGAGGCCTGCGCTTCCTCATTAGTACACAGTAGGGCCACAGTCTGATTGTCTCCGTGCCATGCTGCATTGATGCATTAATCCATGAAAATGGGAGGGCCAATCAAGTATTGGCTGCCAGAACTGTTCAGTTGGATGACATTAATTGAGTTTTTATAGTTTCTAAATGTACAGTTGAAACCAGATATCTGCAAACAACATAATAAACCTCCCTTTTTTGTAATGCTTGGCATTAAATCAAACAAACCTTTCCTGTTGGTAAAGCAACCTATATTTTCCAAAAGGCTAAATAATGAGAGAGGGAGATTTAAAAAAACAAAACAAAAAAACCCTTTTTCTAAACACAAGATGTTTTCAGACAACTACTTAATTTTTGATAGATTTGTCATATAAACCATATGACTTGGGTCAAAGGTTTTTGGGGGTCCTTCCACAAGTTTTTCACAAAAAGCAAAAGTTTGTTGAAACTTTGACCTCTTCTCCAGAAAGAATTGCATGTGGGCTGCTGTCACCTCACACATGTTTTATGAGACTGAGACCATGCATTTGTGATGACCAATCCAAAACATGTTTGTGATATTTAAGCCGCTTCATCATCAATTGGTAGCATACTTAAGATCTTTGTGCATTTAAAAGATCCATTTGTATCCAAACTTTTCTGGTTGATGGTTTGAGATGTTTCAACCAGTCCCTCCTGCACCAAAAAGTTCACATAACCTAATCTTCTCACCCAGCTGTGAAGCTTCTTCCTCTCCCGCAAACACAATTAAAATCATTATGGCCAAACACTTCAATTTTAGTTTCATCAGACCACAGGACATTTCTCCAACAATCAGGTCTTTGCTCCTGAGGGCAGTTGCAAACTGTAATCTGGCTTTTTATCTTACTCTTTGAGTAACGGCCTTTTCCTCTCTCAGAGACTCACCAGGACTTTTTTCATTGTGGACAATGAAATTATCTTTTCAAGTTCAGTCCCTATTGTCACAAGATCTCTTGCATTTCACAACAAAACATGATATCTGGAGGAGGCAGAACCCGTCTCTGCAGGGTAACTTTGTTAGACGATCACATGCTGTTGAGTTGTGTATAACTTCCTTAAAATTGGTGCCTCCAATTACTTCAATTGTCATCAACTACTCTATATGAAGCTTTCAAAAGCCATCTGAATTATTTGTAAAGTTATTGACACTTTAGTATTTTTAAACTTCTGGCTTAGAAGAAAAAAAAATATATATATATATATATTTCATTCTAGCATTTTACAAATGGAATAATAGAATAATTTTGATGATGCTAATTCATTTAAAACAGAATATACAGTAAAAGATTAGATTTGAGCAGCATAACCTACTCTGAGCTACTGGCCAGGTAAGCCTGACAAAAAGTCTGATCCAGCTGAGGTGAATGTCTTCATGCACCTCCTCCTAATTGTGAGAGACGAGCTGCTGCCCTAAGAATAGTCAAGAATCTTTTGCACAATCCCTCCCCTGCTTTCTATTTGTGTCCCCTCTGTTATGATTTAAGACCCCTCTCTCACAGACTGACACACGTATCACATGTCCGTGAAGGTCAGAAAGCAGCTAATCGCTTTAAATGAAGATGCAAAGCCTTCAGTGCAATTAAGAGATTATGTGACAAACAGCAACTATGTGTCCATACTTTTAAAGAAGCTTCCAAATATAGTTAAAACAATCTACAGAAAGGCTTAATAGACATTGTTATTGCATTTTGTTACAATTACCATGGATTAACACTTAAAGCCTACACTAATAACACTTTAAAATTATAAATGACTTTTTTGAGAGATCTTCATGATGTCCTTCTGTACAGGATATAATATGTCACGAGAGTTGCCACACATATTGGTCTTCTTTGTACAGAAAGAAAAACAATAAATTTGAGTTTGATCATCTCTTGTATTATATTGAGAAACAAACTACGTTTATGATGTTGCGGGTCATTTTGACCCGTATTGTGTAATTTGTCTCAAAACAGTAAAAAATGAAGTCAAACCAGTCAGAAATTTATTTTAGATTAGATACACACTTATGAGAGATGAGAAGAACAGATACACAACTTGAACACTATATCATTGAACTGCTTATTTAAAATTTTCACTCTTCATGAACACTGCTTTTCATTGACCTTGCCTCATTGTCTCTGTCAATGTGCAACATTTTCAGTGTTCCCCACATGATGGACAGAATGTGACAGTGTGCTTTCTGCAAATGTACTTCCTGCATCTCACACAAGAGGTTCTTGTTTTACTGTCATCTTGGGAGGAACAGACTCGGCATCTTTTACGTTTTTTTGCACCTGTATCGAAAGGTTCCATTGTAGGTTGGTCAGATGCCCGGCCCTGGACTCATCGACAGTAACATGGAGTCCAGGATTATACAATAAAGGCAGGATTTCGACCCATTTATCCCAGACATCTCTGATTGCTGCAAGTTTGTCTCTCTCGCGTCCATGTCTCCAAAGACATTGTTGCTCGGAAGATTGGTCTTCCATTCTCTTCATTCCACAAACTTGCAGTTGCTTCACCCTTCAGCCTGTATACTCCAGCTAACACCAGAATTCCGATGTAGGCATGCAAGCCAGTTGGATCCAGTGGTTTCCAGTGGTGTCTCACACATTTCTGTGTTAACGAGCTGCAATGGTCTTTATCTGTATCCTGAGTGGTCATCATTGTGTTCTAAGGATGGGACATCAACGGAAGACTTCCAGAACAATCCTGTAGGATAGTGTATTGGTCAATTGTTTGCATGTCTGAGTGAGAAAGCCAACCTCTTTGTTTATTCACATAATAAAAGGCAGTTGGGGACTGAGAGCTGACGGAGTTGATCTCAGACAGCTTTTGGCAGCGGTTCACCACGTTGGGCTCTTCTCCCCTTTTCTGCGGAAAAGTAATTTGTGTCTTTAGTTGATTCTTGCAGGTTGGGGAACAAAATAAACCCAACAACCAGGAGTCATTTTGATGACATTAGAAGATGACAGTCTGCCTTGGCTTTGGTGTGGTGATGATGATCATCTTATCTTACCATCTTTAGATGTCCAAGTCCCCTTTGTGGATGAGGATTGTTGCATTTCTTGATTTTCATCTGATGAAGAAGCGTCCTCTGAATCTTCCTCATCTTGGAAAAAATGACAATCTGGATCATCAATGGCATTGTCCTCTTGCTCTGAAGGATCTTCCATCTCTGAAATTTCTTCATCGACATCGCTATCCCAATTCAAAATCTTCAATGAAGCTTCTTTAGCTCTCTCAAAGAAAGGGCATGTAAAAGTGACAAGGAGAGGGAAGGGAAAGTCCCTCCTCCACGCACACCTGGTTCTCAATAGCTATTCTGAGGCAATCAAAACCAATCACATCAAAGAGGCATGATTATTATGTATTTAAACGGCTACTTTATGTCTGGGTCAAAATGACCCACAACATCATCTTTGTACACAAATTGTGTGCAGACACTTCTCAACACATCAAAGACTCCAGATTTTACTCAGAAGTTCATGACCCTAGATGAGGAAAAGTCACAAAATTTCATGAAAAAAAAAAAAAGAATAACCTGCACTTTGGTCAACTCAAAAATTGAAACGGGTCAAATTGACCCGAACCATAACCA